TCATCGCAGTAAACACTATAAGATAAAGAAATTGAAAGATGAAGAAGATTATGAAGAATCTTAATTTGAACACATTTTTGATATTTAATGCGTAGGTAATAATATAACAAATTTATTTTTAGTCTAGGTTTATTCTTTTTTTTTTATATTTTATATAAACTAGTTTAAATACTTTTTAAAATTTTAAATTTATAAAAACATTATATAAAAAGTTTCGCATTTAACTTCTTCTAATTTGAATTTAAATAAATCAAGTATTTAATAAACTATTTAAGTTTAGAGTTTATATTTGTTATAAGATTTTAAGTACGTTGTAAAATTAATATACAAAATAGTAGTTGAGAATGTCTGTGCTTAACTTGATTTCCATGTATATACGTTATAGATTGTTAGAGGATTGAATTCAACTTAATGGGTAAATTTATTATTAATAACAAAATTAATTATTATCGAGTAGTAAAAAAATTTTTTATAAAAAAAAATAGATAAATAATAAATAAATAATAAAATAATAAACAACAAATTTATATTCTTTAACTTGTTCATTAAATCACTTTATATTATAATGAACAATGACTGAGTGCAAGAATATATATTCATTTTTTATCTCGAAATACGAATCTACTTACTAAATTCTCAATGGTCAATATACAAATTGACATTTATAAGACTTTTATTACATAACTTTATGATATCTGAATTTAAGTTTTACAAGCTTAGATTGCTCTCAAGCATCTTCCTGAGTGTGATTAGATAGTGATTGAGATGATGCACAAACATTGCGATCAATGATTGAGTGAGCTTTTTTAATATTACGATTATCATGTCTCCAACAAACAAAAAAAGCATCCGTTCAACAAACAAAAAAATATATTACCATTATCAACAACTTCAAATGTATCTGTTACAACTACTTCAAGTGTTTCTGCTACTTCTTTAGCAATTCCAAATAGTTATATTGTCCCTTCGCCTAATTACAATACTCCTGTTGTTCCTTTTACGGATTTAACAAATTATTATATGCTGTTACAATAGCATTATTCTTCTGCGCAACTATGTAATCATTTAGTTTTAAATAGAACTAATAGCGAATATGAAGAAGTATATATTGAATTTTATTTAAATTTGTAATTTTTATAAAGAATTAATAAAAATTTTTTTTAGGTTTAAAGTCATCTGTTAGTGACAATACAGTAATCAAACTTCCACTAATAGTAGTCTTGAAAATTTACATGCTGTAGATAAAATATCAAGTTCATCCAACACTAATACTATTTCTGGAAATAAACCAAATAATCGATGAACATCATCCCAAGATAACAATTGTCAGTTATATTTTTTGGGGTTTCTTGATATTTTTTATTTGTCCTCAAAGTTTCTAGCACGAAGAGTAAAAAAGTAATTTGTTGTTGACGGTGAAGATCCATATTGTTAGAAGTGTATTTAATGCAAAGTATAAGTGCAAAGTGTAACGATTTGATCATAAAAAAAAAAAAGATTTGATCATAAAAAAAAAACAATGGTTCGATTGTAAAAAAAAAAAAAAAATAAGATTTGATCATAAAAAAAAAAATAATGGTAAAAAAATTATGGGTTGATCGTAAAAAAAATATTAATTTGATTGTAAAGTTCTTGAATAATCTCACTCTATGATGAATTTTGGCCAATCAGCACAGCTCTATAAAAAAAAAAAGATAGTCACTAACCATCTTTTTTTTTGACTGCAGTATTAAACTCTCTTGACCGGCTGAGCAAATTTTTATTAATTAAAATTTATACACCGATCTATTGATTGAGGCACTTGAGAGCACCTTTAAGCTCTATTAAATATAACCTAGGGAGTTTCAGAATTAATTTTTTTTCAAAATAAGTGGGGGTTTAAAAGGACCTATTTTCTTTTTTAAAATTCCAAATCAGAAAATGAAATTGGCATAGCCGGTGATAAAATTATCGTATTCCTCTGAAAATAAGCACCCCTCGGAGTAATTTTTATAGCCAAAATTCTTGTGATCTAGTATTGGATCTAGATCTGTATAATTTTGGTACCATTCAAACCATGGTACCAAAATTATGCAAATTCATTCACTAGATTGCGAGAATTTTGGCTATAAAAATTGCTAGGAGGTGCTTATTTTCGGAGGAATACGATAGCTTTTTTTTTGATAAACATTCATCAGTAAACGATTATGTAAATAAGTACTTACTTTAAAAAAAAATAAAATTCGTATGTTGCTTATTTTGAAATAAATATGTCACTTATTTTATCTGAAATCGGATGTCGAATCATTAATTCTGAAACCTCTATTAGATTGTTTATGAACTCTTGTAACATAGACGAGTCCCGTTATTAAATTGGATATAAGTCAGGTGCTCTGAAGTTACATATTGAAATTAAAATTCTTTAAGGTCCAAATGATGTTTTTTTATATTTGAGTGAGAAAAAAAAACAAGATTGAAATACTTTAATAAATCAAATGCATGAATTCAAAATTGGTTTTAAATTAGGTTCATAAAATTTAAATTCTTCTTCCCGAACTCAATGATCCGGCCAGGTTATAAGAACCAAAAAATCAATTTTGCCTGGCCTCATGTATTTCCAGATCATAGCTTTATAAAAATAAAATTTTTAATTTTATTATCTAAAAAATTTTTAAATTTTTTTAAATAAAAGTCTGGAAGAGCAGGTCATTTTTTTATTTTATATTATGAGAACCAAAAAATTAACTTTATATGGCCTTATGGATATAATTTTAAAATTCAGATGTGTAATAAATAATTATTGTCGGTGAAATAATTGTTGGCAAAATGATTGTCTGCAAAATGACTTTCAGCAAAAATAACTGTCAGTGAAATGACTGTCGGTGAAATAATTTGTAGGTAAAATAATTGTCGGCGAAATAATTGTGATATTTTAGTAAATTGAGTGTTGGGAAATTGGTTGTCGGGGAAACGACCTGAACCCCCGGACAAGGGCCGATAAGGACCATGGGAATTTATGCTGATCATTGTTACTATTACTGTAAAGGACCATTTTGGGACTGAAGGACAGACTGGACTGGACTGGACTGATGAATCCCTACTACTACTACACATAATTTTGCAAGCCACAATAAAATAAATCAACACAAATAAGAAATTCATAATAAATAATTATTACACTTATTGATGAAATCGAATTGAATAAGTTACTGTTTATTGACCAAATTAGCACAGATAATATATCAATTAAATACATTGATTATAAATTATCGTCATGTTGTCAGTTAAATTAAATGAGAGGTGATCCAATTATTAAATCAACATGAATATAATAAACATAAAACATATATATATGCATGAAAGTGCTACTGATTATTAATTTCTGAAGTAACAGTAATTTATAATTATATTGTAATGTAATATTACATAGAAATTGCTTCCCAGTATCCCTATGATTGTTGTATGTATTACCATGGGACATTCAGGTTATTATGGACTTACCCCTGTCATTGCTGATGAATATGATTAGCATATTGACAACTAAAAGAAGAACTTGATTACTATCACATTTTATCACCGCAGTGAACTCAACCTGAACTCCCAAACTGGTTGATCGATGATGATTAACGATCAACTACCCCATGACTTTCGTATCCTTGCCCCGTACATATTGCCATATATATGTGTTAACTGCCTAATCAGTTAATACCATACACATCACTACCAGTTGCTATATCGGTCTCCATAGTGATGGTGTGAGGATTAAGATTAGCGCATGTCATCAATATCAATAGAAGTCCCGAAAGGATCTAATAATTACTGTGTCAATGATCTCTATACCGAAGCGGCCCTATTATCAACCAAAAGCCCTATTCTACCAAGTTATCAATGCAGATGAACAAGAAATGAACAAACTTGGGCGAAGGCAGCTGAAAGTATAAGGTGTCTTTTTATCAATCACAACAGATCAAGGCCCATTGAAGGCAAAGGCCCAAAGGATGTATAACAATATCGGTGGGAAAATTGGAGTTGAAAAGAATGAGCAATGGGTAGAATGATTGATCATTAGATAGCGATAAATTTATCAATTGACTATTGTAATAAATTATGTAGCTGTGTTTGTTATATAAAGGACACAAATTAGCCCTAACTAGTTTTTTCAGTCTTCGACACCCTTTAATAATTATATATTTCCACATATATAATTCCCTTAATAGATTAGATTCGAATTCTCCATTGTATTCTTATAACTGTTTCCATACAGTTAACTCTGTTATTATTAATAAACCATATAACTTCGTGTCTTCATACATGATTGAATAAACTGTCATATTATGTGTAACTCGTGATCTTTGAGTATTTATCGTATCATCACGTATAACTCGTAACCTTTTCTTAAAACAACCCTACATATCTTCATATACATTTGTGTTGTCCACCTCTTTCGTAAAAGCCTTCATAACCTCTTTACTAAGTCATTTATACAATGCTTCTTAACCTCACCATATCACTAATTCATTAGTCTGTGATAAACTAACCCCATAGTTCCCGGAAGTCGTTCTAAGAGGTCGATTTCAGGCATAACAGTAACTTACAAAACATTAAAAATTTTTATTTAAATTATACTTACAAACTAATTTAATATATAAAGAAATTGCTGATTTCAATTACGTTTACTATTATAATCATTACAAACCAAATAAATAAAGAAATCAATGAGAAGTAGAAAACTCTCAAATTTCTATTTATTAAGATTTCTTTCTAATTACTATGTCTTCATAATGATATTCTCGATATATTGTAAATCGCAATAAATATAATATTGCACATCCGAACTATGCCAGTAATTGATACGCATGAATGTATATAATAAAATGATGTTCGATTAGAAGATCAATATAATGAATTTAACCCTTTATTAGATTTTTTTAAATTGTGGAATTTTTATGGATTTCGAAGACTGCTTTTTTCCTATAAAAAGGACATCAGGTTATCAAAAATCATACCAAAACTTCTAAATTATGAATAATTTTATTTTTGTATTCATTTTATTTGCTATTTTTCTTACTGTAAATGCAGCTCCATTTCAACTTAATAAAAGAGCTATCACCTTCAACCCTTGTCCCAATATTATTGACTCACTTACTGTGGTAATGCAGCCTGATCCTTTTGTAAAGGGCAGATCTGCTTAATTTAATGTATCCGGAAAATTAACAAATGATATCACTGCAAACAAACCTATTTTTCAAATTGAGTTTCAAGACTCAGGAGAAAAAGGCTCTATAGATGTCCCTTACATTCAAACATTCAGCGGTTTATATCTGCATGGAAGCCCATTTTCGATATCTGCATCAAATGTTTCTATTCCTATTTTTTTACCTCACTCATATCTTATTGCAGTTTCTGTTGGAGATCGAACCAATAATCCAATGAATCCAATGAATCAATATGGCTGTGCATTTGTAAACGTTAGTTCTGCAGCTAATTCTTTCGGTGATTTTTCTATTAGTGCTTTATTGTTTAAATAAAAAATTATATAATTGCAATATGTTGATATTAATAATTGATGCCTATAACAAAAGTATAGAACTGTTTATACAATAATTCTATTTACTTTAGTAGCTATAAAGTTTTAACAAATCTATATTAAAAAA